TTCCTATCTCCATGGAACGCTATTAAACAAGCATACACCCATTGAACAAAACTGCAAATGAAAACAAGTCACAAACTTATTCTAGATTACAGTGAAAAACTCTTGCAAATGATACCGTGTCAATTTCCACTGCTACATGTCCTCATCTTGAAGAGCAGGTTCGACTGAGAGCGCACCCTATTCGTGCTAGCTCACGGTCCCCTCCGTGTTCTCATATAACCTCAACAGCCGATCCGGCGTCTCTTTTGGGTTATGTGAAAAGGTCACCTCGGTCCTTTGCTCTTAGCAATCGCTTTACTCTGCGGCTTTCGGCAACTCAGTATCACTGTTTCTATTCTTCTATTCTTGCAATCTCCCAGCTTGGGTCATTTATTTTGTTGACCTCTGACAATTTAGCATCACTGTTTTATTGTTCCATTTTTGTAACCTTCATGGTTTCTTGTCGGTCATTTGGATAACGCTCGCGTCTTAAATGCGTTTCACACGATACGGTATCCACTTCCTGGATTCGTGACCAAAGCCGATCAATCGTTTGAGTCATAGCCCTCTGATTCTCTTGGTTCTTTGGTAGAAGAGATCGGATTTGGTTATTTCTGCCTCATAATCTGTGCAGGTGCTTTCCTGTGCATGATATTTTGATCGACACACTTCCTGTAGACGACAACCCAAGCAGCATTGTTTGGGCTCTCCGTTCTACCGCAAACGTGATTTGTCATGGCCTTCTTCTTACTCCCCTACCAACTGATTGGTTGATGAAATTCACTTATAAAGGAAAGCCGCTATGATCGATAAAATGCTTGCAATCTCCGTTCATGGACCTGAGCTCTGCTCTACCACAAATGTCTTCCAAAGTTACATATAAGTATTCTGCCGGCAATGTGAGAATTGCAAGTCGCATAGTTCGTAGTTGTGATTTGATAACTATATCTGTCGTGCTCTCAAATGCGAGTTCTTCCGGAAAAATGAAAATGTTCTCCTCCAAGAATTTGACGGAACCCAAGGCTACTGCGATCAAATGTATATTCTCCCTTGTAACGGCAACAGATTTGAATGAAGAGAACTCAACTTCATTCAAACTTGGTTGCTTGTTACCATGACATACTTTCGTAGGTGCACAAAGAAAATGCTTCGGGCGTGTGTTTTCGGCATTTGGCATTAAACACTCACAGATTCAGTTTGATGAATACCGAGGCCGGAATGTGGCCTTCGTTGAAGGTGCACCAAAGTGCATGAACTCCAGCTGATGGTTTAACAACACTGTCAGATTCACTAAAGTGATCTCGAGAACTTCTAATATCTGATAAGCTGTATCGATGGACGGACGGAAGGGAAGGGTGATGAGCTGAGATAGGAGAGTAAGACACTCGCCCGAGAGCACAGGGACTTATCGATTTTCACAACTGTTTTTGCCGTCTAGGGTGGGAGAACCCCCTCCCCCTCCCCCAATCCCCTCCTGAACAACCAAGTCAAAGAGTTCAGTTGTGATCGGTCATCATGTTAAACATAATTTTAATGTTTTGCTAGCCACAGTGACATGTGATCGAAAGTCAGGCCGTGTGATTACCAAGTATTTTGTCTTTACAAGACTCATAATGAGCAGATCATGTAAAGTACGGCCGGCTATCAATGACAGATGGTCCAAGGGATCTTAGGTGATTATTAAGCGTTGTTGAATAGCTCTTTTTCACAGCTCTCTCCCTATCTCGGCCACAGTTTCGACTGTGACTCGGTTGTAATGTCACCAAAGTATCACCTATTGTGTGTTGAATGGCAGCCCTTTGATTGGCCGCTTCCCCCCTCCTGAAAATTGTATCTTTGTATAGTTAATAAAAGAAAGTTAAACGAAAAGAAAGAAGAAAACTCAAGGATCATAGACTTTTAACACGGAGGCATATTTCTGTTTCATTGTTAACTGAGCATCACTGAAAATTGAGCTTTAATTGACGAACAATAAAAGTTAACCATTTGGACCGATAAAATTGGCATTTTCGTAACTGCAGCGTATTCATCAAAGAGTTGTTTGAAAACACTATCTCTATAACGAGAAAGCTGGTTTACCCAGACGGTATTGTAAAAGTTCTTCATGGTTTTTACAGAAGTTTCTCTCAAACTTCAACTTTGAACTCACTCTTTGGGCCTTTCAGTTCACAATATACGTGAAGACTACCAGACCCGAGTTTGACTCTAATAAGAGATCAAACGTTCACAATTAACACGATACTTTCATCCTGTAAATCATGTTTTGATGGCGCCCATTTCTTTTCGACTCTACCCATCCCAAGTTTATTACCGGTGGAAGAAAATTTTCTATGTCGGCCAATTTTTCGACGTGCCGGCAAAATCACTGCAGCTGATGTGCATCGTGTGTTCACCTTGTACGATACGGTAAGTTGAAACGGTATCGCAGTTCGCTGTCGCTCTCTTACTATTAGTTTCTTTTCACCGAAACAAATGCCCAAAGTCACCAGACTCTCCAGTTTCATTTTGCAACAGGGAGCAGTAAATCCTAATTGTCCAATCGTTGCCAAACTTGCAATGAGCAGAAAGAGATACAGCTTGAATAGTGTATGATTCGGCTTTGTGGAAGGTGGCCATAAAGTAAGCCGAAGTGCATGACCAAAGAAGAATTAGGCCGTATAGTTTCAAGAAAATACATTGTGAAATAGTTTACCTAACAAGAGATACTAACAGGGACACCCTGGATACCCTGCAGTCTTCCCAGCCTTATGAACGTGCGGATATTAAACAGGCATCATCTGTTGACCACAGAATCCTTTTTTCCAACTAGAGCTCAGTAGTTTTACAGTGTCTTCTCAGTTAGAGTAACCAATACTGGAGTCGACCTCGGTTTCAGTGAAGGTAGTCCATTATCGGTTGCAAAGTTCGGTAGGTCGTATGTCATACCCTAGACCAATTTTTGGATGCAGTTCCGTTGTACGAAAGCGTGAGATTTACCTATTCCTTTGCATATAGATTGAAGATGTATTGAATCCACTAGGTGATCATTGATGGTGATTCCTTCGATGATGATAAAGCTGTACGGAATTTTAAAGGTTTTTCAACCGCATATACGTGACACGCTGACAGTGCTCCAATAATAACTTCCTAAAGATTAAATTACTTTTTACTCTGGTTTCTCATTCTTCTTTGTGGAATTAGACTTGGAGATGAGAGACCAACTTTGATGTAACTGTAGTCTTGTCAATAGCATTCGAAATGGAGCTCCGGAATTCGCGCAACACCAATCCCCTAAATAGAACAACATCGAATCTAATAGCACATGTACTTTATTCGAACCGTATACCATGCATATTCAATGCATTTAAAGTGTACAAGGAATTTTTCTAGGTCAGTGTCACACATCACAGTAACACTCCTCTTTGTCCAGGTATGTGCATGGTATATGATGCAAATGTGACAAACACTGGAGAAAAACATTACCTGAGACACAGAAAAAAAAACTGAAAAACGTCAAAGCTGGTCTTACGCAGAGTCTGTGCAGTCGTTGAAAACACAATGACGGCTGAGGTTCTTTGATTTTACACAGACTATTTGGTAATCAATACATATAAGATGAAATCCAAAAGACATACGACTAGGTCAGTTGACGTCAGCGTACACTCAAATTTAAACCTGGTGGAACAGAATGAATTGTGAGATTGTGACACAGTAGGAATAAAACGAGAATTTAACGTTATAAACACAAAAAACAGAACGATAGTAGGCGATTTTTAAATCCATAACCGTTGAACATTGAAATTCCGTCATTTCGGTTTTCACGTCGTGTTGCGCAGTTGTTTGAAATTGCCATTTATAAGCAGACCACTTAGATAGACGCAGTAGTCAGACAAAAAGTTCAGCAATTAAATTTCGCTTTCGGAGAATTTGTGTACACAACGATTTCGAAAGTTACTCATACTCGTATTTAGAAAACAACTTCAGGAGAATAATTGTTTTTAATAACTCATAATCATGCCATTACAGTTTATATAGGGGAAAAATCCTAAGGGTTGGGAGCAGAACAATAAAATGTGAGGAATCGTTCACTTCGTGTATGCTTCTGTGTTTATGTGTGTGTTGCACGCCGTATTCTCAAATCTGTGTTTCCGGGGTTTGCAGTTATGTCACGAGGGTCGTGGGATTCAGTTCTGAGGGATCGGTGTTGTTGTGTAAAAATGTTTGTATGTGCGGGTAACGGGGCATGGGGGAAGAGTGAGTTCGCGAACCCAGGGTAGATGGAGAGCTTGGATAAGACGTTTCTGAGCACACGTAGTTGGGGGGGAGGTCACATTTTATTGTTCTCCTCCCAATCCCTAGGATTTTTACCTCATATAAACTGTAATAACAAGATTATGAGTTATTGAAAACAATTGTTCGCCTTAAATTATGTTCTAGATTACCAAGGAATTTCAAACTTAAAACCTGCAGTCAGAGCGAAATGTCTATGATAGTAAAGTGACTTTCCGGTTTATGTCAATCACCCCTACATCCTCGGAGCAGATTTGTATCACACCCAGCACATTTTAAGTTTGCCTGGGATAGACGACTATCAACTTGAGAACTTTAACTGTCAATGTTTCATACGGCTTCTCTACCACATGTCGCGTGCAGTGAATGAGTTAGCAAAATATAATTGTACACCCAGGAATAACTGATTAACCAGAGTGACGTTTGACTGTTTGGTCCTATTTTCATGTCTGATAAGCGTTTCTGTTCAAGGCTTCACTAACTACGATGGTTGGATTGAGTTGTGGAAAGGCATGTTAACAGCCACCAATCAATGGAAGTCCAATGTGCACTCTAATCTTCAACTGAAATACATTGTGAGTTGAAAGACGATGGAAGAAGTTTCCTTTGGGATAATTATTTTATACTCACACAATAACATGTACTAGGAGTCTCTCTTTGTCTACTTTTCTCATAAACAGTCCTTCTCTTTCCGACACCCCGTTTGTACAAGGACAAAAATGGAACAATTGAAGATGAAGAGCTGTCCGGATTCCTGAAAGATTTGTTGGAACTTGTCTATGAGGTAAGAGAATGTATCTAAATGTGAAAAGCCTATGCCTTGGTATCAGAACTACCGTTCTGCTTGTTCGCGGGGACAAGTTATTAGATTCATTCAAAGTTTTCTGTCAGATACTTATGGTAAACTCATTCCACCAGACTGCATGTTCCATACACCGTTTAGGATTTTATGAACGATCCAATCAAGTTAACTTCTCTCCTTTTCAATCACAGTGACCTCAAGGCAACTCCAGGTTCCTAATTATTTCACTTTTGTAAAATTCCAGTTATACTAAATATTTCTGAATG